TTAGTGAGTTCCACAAGTATTTTGAGTCCTACTGTGCATCAGGCATGATTCTTCTTGGTTGTCAGGATAGACAGGTCCCCAGGCTTCATGGAACTGACATTCTAGTGAAGAAGGCAGATGAAGAAGTTGGGAAAAGCTTCTTTGGTGTTTTGAACAAAGACCTGAGTGAACTGAGAGAGTGAGCCACGCAGGTCCTAAGGAGGAGCAGGCCAGGCACAGAGAATAACAAGGCAAGGCCCCTGAGGCAAGAGGGTGTTTGGAATGTTCCAGAAACTTACAGGAAGAGAGCATGGCTGGAGTTCAGAGGATGAGAGGGAGAATGGTAGTAGATAGAATCAGAGAGGGGGATGGAGTCAACAGACCATGGAGGACCTTAGAGACAACAGTAAGGACTTTGAACTTGAATTTAAGTGAGATGGAAAGCCATGGAGGGTTTCTGAGATGAGGAAGAAGTAATGTGATTGACTTCTATTTTTAAAACATCACTCTGAGCACTGCATGAAAAACAGACAACGCACGCGCATGTGTGTTTCCACCCAACTCTTCTGTTTGCTCTTTGACAACAGGAAGCTAATTGTTAATCCCTCAACATGCACTGTCTTCCTGCACCCCAGTGCCCAGGCCCTCAACCTGCAACACTAGGACCAAGCTCTGGCCTATCCTTCAGATCTCCAGGCAGATGCTGCATCCCATGGACAGCTCCCTTATAAAGGAACTGGGTGCTCAACACCACACTCTACTTTATACCCTCTTCTATTTTAAGTATTGATTTCAATGACTCTCTCCCCATGAGACTCTGAGCTGCCTAAAGGAAAGACCACATCTTTCCGATGTTTATATCCTCAGACCCGATTATGATGCTTGGCACCTGGTGCCTGGTGCTCCATAAATATTGGATGCCTGAATAAATAGGTAAATCAACATACTCATACAAGGTAATTCTACCAAATTTCAAGCAAAGCATCAAAGAATATTCCTTTGGTCATTCATAATATCTAGAGATGGGAGGCACTAAGCCAACGAATTCATAAAACACTGGCTCACTCGGGTGTGACTGTGCAGAAGTAGGAGTGAGCCAGAAAACAAGATTACAGGGGTATGGTGGACACAATATTGACAGTGCCTGGTGTAGGGGTAGGAGCAGAAAATACCAAGGGTGCCTGCCTTTCCCAATGGGGCTGGGAGATAGTCTCTGCTCTAGGGGGTCTACGCAGAAGGAGAGTGTCAGGGAAATGAGAATGATGTCACTTGTGTGTGTGCTGCTGTTGAGGTGGGTGTGGAACAAGCAGGTGGAGTTGTGGAGGTGTCTACTAAGGAAAAAATACAGTTCTAGAGTTCATCAGAGTTCCAGTGTACAATTTCAGTGTGAAAATAAGGAGTCTGGAATGAAAAATAGTAGTTGGTGCCAAAAATTTAGATAGCAGCCAAAAAAGGTGTAGAGGATGAGAAGAGCATAGAGGCAAGGATAGAGTTATGAGGAATCCTGACAGGAACCCATGAAGAAGGAGACAGGGCACCTAGGGATCCAGGCTGGTGGGGCAGCAATGTGAGCCTAGCAATATGCTTTACAACCTTGGGCCCAATACTACTGCTGCAGATAGCCAGAGGGGGGGAAAGAAAGTCCAAAGAAATCTGCTTTCCCATTAAGGACATGGCTCAAAAATTACACACATTGCAAATACTCAAACGCCATTGACCCAAACTTGGTCACATGGATGCATCTACATGCAAGGGGTTCTGGGAAATGTAGTCTGTCCCTGGGCTAGTATGTATGTGCACAGGTAAAACTTGGAGAATTCTAATACAGAAGGGAAGAAGGGGAGATGGATCCTAAGAGACACAATTTGATTTTCAGATTGCGTTACCTACTTTGCTGATACCTGTCTCACCAAAGCAAAGCGTATTTTGACTCGCTAAAATGGAGAAAGAAAAAGAGGAAATTCTGAAACCTAAAGCTTCAAGTAAAGGGCAGGTGTGGGCGGGATGCTGGTGGAGAGGTAGCTTTGGTGAGGATGTGACAGGTATGCTATGATGAACACAGGCTGGATGACACTGAGGGAGACTCCTACCCCCACCACTTACCCAGGCAAGTTTCTCACCTGCCCCCGTCCCAGTCTTCCTTCACAGGGCCACTGAGGCTCACGAAATTCAGCACGTGCGATGCCAAGCAGAGGACCCTGCATCTAGTGAGAACTCAAACTGATACTCATTTTGTTTGTTTCTTCCCATTTTTCAAATGCAGAAGAAGGACATGTCAAGAGATGAAAAGAAGCTCAAGAAAGAAGGTGGCTGGACACAACACTTGGCCTACTTTTCCATGTTGCCTGCAACCCTGATGTCTAAGCTTATAGGGAAATCATGCGGCAATGCCAGGTGCACACCAGTGCCTCCCGTGGGGTCTCCAGAGGCAGCTTAAGGCAGGGAAGAGTTGGGAAGGTTCCTCTAGAGCAGCCCTGGCAGGCAGCCCAGTTCCAACACCAGCAGCTGCTGGCTGCTTGCAAAGGCTGGCAAGGAGAGAGCTTCCTTTGTCTCATTAGAGCAGCAACAACACAGGCATGCTTCTAAAGGTCAGGTAATGCTATATCGATAAGCCACCTGCATCTGCTCCCCTATGAGGAAGTGGTGCTTGAAAACCGCCTAGCAGCCCCACCCTCTCCGAAAAACATGCTGCCTCAGGATACGAGATGAAATGTCTTTTCACGACAATGAAAGTTTTAATCCTTTGTGGCAAATGTTTCACCCTTGTGTCTTACAAAGCTCACGGGACTTCTCCCCTAAGCTGTTCACTTAATCATTAGGCAGAAGTTACCTGGCATGTCTGCCAGAACAGATGGTTACCTGGAGAGGCTACCAGGAGTGGAAACCTGTCTCCCCTCCATCTCCTCTCCAGCCTCTACCAACTGTTTGGCCAGAGTAAAAGATGCAGAAGAGAAGCAGGCGGTCTTGGTGTTGCCTGGAGCTGGGCCAGTAACAATGAGTCCAGGTGAACAACAGACAGGAGCAACCACACATCCTGGACCACGGACAGAAAGTGAAGCTGGCAAGAAGAGAAACCTCTCTTGGTTAGTTTTCAAGATCTTACCTGTGAACAAATCACTGTTATTACTTTAATCATAAATATATTTTTGTTAGTTTATTCAAGTGAAAGTATCTAGGGAAAAATATCTAACTTCAGTTCTGTTCTAAAACTCAAGGCCATTTCCCATGGAGAGAAGAAAAAGAAGAAATGGTAACAAAAAAATATCTTGCTTCTGTGCAAAGCTTTAGAAGGGATTTCTAATCAGAAATTTGAAGTACTATTTCTTTTCCTCTATCAAAATTTCCAGCTGAGGTGAAAACACACACACACACACACACACACACACACACACACACACACATTTAAAACAAAGAGAAAGAGAATTGCTAAATACAGGCCTAATGTTTTGAAAACAACTGCACCAATATAACTTAAAATGAGTCGGACTTAAGTAAGAACAAAAGGAAAGGCAGAAAAAAGTGTTGTCCAAATAGACATAATGTTCCAGAAAATTGGACTTCATTTGCATGCTTGGCATCCTTCCGCCTCTGAAACGAGGTACTTTGGATGCTTCTGCAAGGCATCTCTTAGAAGCAACCTGTGCTGGTTTCATTTCCAATGTTTCATATTTATGCTCCACTGCTCACTTCCCACTGTTTACTAAACAGTTTATGATAATCCCACATTTATTACAGTTTTTACAACAGAGCCATTTCACAGCACACATCTCTCTGTAACAGAACTCCCCATGGGAAGCAAGTCAGAAGCCAATCTTGCAGCTCCATGATCTCCCCCTGTGCTGCACCGCTCAATGAAAACAGGGCCAACTACCACTTCCACTCAGAATAGCAGGTCTCAAGGTAGGAATAGGCAGCATTTGCTTTAAAACTAAGAATTTAAAAGAATACGTGGAAATGGACAAAGGGCACACAAAAACAAAGAGGGCACCACCCAATAGCAACATTTCAAATCATCCAAAGTCCATGGATTCAGGTCAGCAAAGCAGTTATGCTCAGCCGGTCCTAACACATTGAGTTGGGAACGAGGAAGAACGTTACATGGATTGCTCTGAAGTTAGAAAACTGGGCTTCAGAGTCAGGGACCCCCAAGTCTAATCTCAGCTCCACTAGTTATGTAGAACTCAGGCAAATTACTTAACTTGTCTGAAGCTGTTTCTGGAACCATGAAAGATGCCTATGATCAAGTTCATGTGCTTGTACACTCAACAAGTGCTGAGTGTGCTGTTGGCACTCAGTGAGCTCAGTACATGGAAACTATCATCATCACTATCATCACCATCATCTTCATCTTTATCACCACCAACATCATCACCACCACCATCATCATCATCACACCACCACCATTGCCATCATCAAATGTAAGTTCCATGAGGTCAATGATTCAATGATTTTTGTCTACTTTTGGTCAGTGCCTAGCACTTAACAGTCACTCAATAAATATTTGATGATTTGTTAAAATAAAAGTATGATACTTTTCAGAATCAGGATGCTTTCTGTCACCTAGCCCACAATTTTCTAACACCTTCTCCAAATGGTACCTCACAGCCTTGGTAAGAGGCCATATTGTCCATTTGAAAATAACTATTGTTAAAAGACCTATATTCTGCTATATTTTTCATTTTTCACAAGGAAAGCAACCACTATAATCATCTTTAAAACTGAATCAACACATCTGCCTTCACATCTTTTCATTGCTTTGAAGACGCTACAGCTTTTACTTTGGATGTGTCTACAAGGCAAACAATCAAAGAAGGTCTTGATATTTGTGCTTCATTCAAAGTTAAACAATAGTTTAACTGATAGTAAGTAACTGCCTTTATTTATAATCTTCCCCTCAAAGTATAAATGCTATCAACTTGAATAAGCCAAAAAAAAAAAAAAAAAAAAAAGAGGCCATGGTCAGATGACCGGGTGTATAGGATTTTGGTGTATTGAGAATTTCCAAAAGCTACATGCGTTACCTTTGCAGAATGCTCCATGGTGACCACCACCTTGGTTTTGGCACTGGACACCAGATCCATAGCACCTCCCATTCCTTTCACCATCTTCCCCTGCAAAATGGAAACAGAAAATAAGAAGTAATTCTCTAACTTTCATTTCTTTAGTATGTGGCAGAACAAAAGTAACTTGCAAGAATAAGCCACTGGAATAATTAATGAGGAAAAAAATATCATTGACCTTCATTTTTTAGTATATGAAGGTTTACAACCTTAATATTCCGTTTTTCTTTCATTTTAAACACATAACCGTCACTACTGAGTCTTTAATTATAGACCCTTTCCAAAGCTCTCCCTTGGATATTGTGTAGAATAAAATGCCATTCGGTGGTAGCCTGAGGCACTCATGGTGTCTCCCTAGTAATGAGTAATATTAAAGATGGGTCTGTCTTTCTAAAATGGCATTTATCTTGCTCTTAGAAAAGCAAACCATAGCAACATGAAAAATAGATTCCTGCTCAGCAAAAACAGAAAACAGGCTCAGAGTTCAGGGTCCTTTTGCCATTACCACTCTATTTTTGTCCATCTGTCCATGTCCTCATTCATTAAACATTTCGCAACCACCTGGTATGTGCCACACTCTGAATAATTCCCACTGTCTTCTCTCTTGTAATTGCAGAGTTTTGGAAAAAGCAAGTGTTTCCAGAGATGATGAAATAAATTTGCACTCTAGTATATAGAGGAGAATGTCTTCTAAGATTGAAAACACCTTGCCGAAACCGGTTTGGCTCAGTGGATAGAGCGTCGGCCTGCGGACTGAAAGGTACCAGGTTCGATTCCGGTCAAGGGCATGTACCTGGGTTGCGGGCACATCCCCAGTAGGAGATGTGCAGGAGGCAGCTGATCGGTGTTTCTAACTCTATCTCTCTCCCTTCCTCTCTGTAAAAAATCAATAAAATATGTTTAAAAAAAAAAAGAGAAAAGATTGAAAACACCTTAATATTTTATTTATTTTTTTACTCCAAGTGCTTTTGCTGATTTGACAGTAAATACTTCCAGGGCTCTCAGCTCCGCTCCCATAATTTCATAGCTATAAGGAGATTCAGCAATGTACTCACACCTGGTTTTAAAACAGTCTCAATCCCCTGCTTTCAGAAATATTTTAGAGGTGCCCTAACCGGTTTGGCTCAGTGGATAGAGCGCCAGTCTGCGGACTCAAGGGTCCCAGGTTCGATTCTGGTCAAGGGCATGTGCCTTGGTTGTGGGCATATACCCAGTGGGGAGTGTGCAGGAGGCAGCTGATCAATGTTTCTCTCTCATCGATGTTTCTAACTCTCTATCCCTCTCCCTTCCTCTCTGTAAAAAAAATCAATAAAATATATTTTTTAAAAAAGAAAAAAGAAATATTTTAGAGGTCAATGCACCACAGCATGAACGTGAATTAGATGTGCAGCATAAAGGGGAGGAGCAAGCAGTTGGGATGTTTTCGTGGTCAGGAGTCACCACCGCATGAGGTGGGTAGCAGCGGGCAAGGCGTGGGGGGCGGGAAGCAGGAAAGGAGCGGAAGGTACAAAATGAGTCTTCGCACACATGTAAGTCTGAAGTGAAGCCGAATCCATGTGGAAATGTGTAATTTTATACTTCTGTCAGCCATGCCTTCATCCCTAGTCATCTGCAATTTTACTATGTTTGGCACCAGGTCATGCTATTTCTGTGGACAACACTGATACCTCGTGGAATGACTCATGGATAAGTCAGAGAGGGCAGCAATAAATGTCTAGCATAAACTCCAACACTAAGGAAGTTTGAGACTTTCAAAGCATCAAATGACACAAAAGTAAGTCCATTTTCATATGTCTCAACCTGCTGTGCTGAGAACATCCGGCCAGTCTCAGCATCCACACACTGTGTCCTTGGGCAGGCTCTAAGCGTGTAAGTGCTAGGAGAATGATGAAGCCAAAAATAAGTAACAATAAAATAAAACCCAGAAAACCAAGCTAGTGTGTTAAAAAGTCCTTGCGTTTTTAAAAAAAAGCATTCCTGAATGCAAGTATACCACAGGCAAATGCTGTCCCCCATGGCACAATGAATATAGTAGAAATTTATGAAAGCCTCAGACTCTGGCCAATTTAGGTGGATCTGAATTACACATTTTAAACCGTTGTCCATTATTTCAGAAATAGTTACAGAGTGCCTACTGGGTACAAACTCTGTGCTGGCAGGACTACAAGGAGCTCTAAAACATGGTGGGAGAAATATTTTGTTTCTGTTAAAAATAAATTCTTGTGTGACCCAATGTGAATGCACAGCCCTCGTTACTCAGAGAGTCGGGTGGTCTGATGCCTCACCTCAAAGCACATGCTACAGATTTCAAAATGATTTTCACACTTACAGTCAAGATTAGGTGCGGGACCTGAGCTCTATCCTACTAACCCACTGGGTGATGCTGGCAAAACACCAAATCTCTCTGACTTTGGGTTCGTTATCTATAAGCCAGGAATAGGCATATCTGCCCTATGGCAGAGCTATTGAGACGAGTGCATAAGATAATGTGTAGAAAATTGTGTACTATGTAAAGTTTATAAATGTATTGATGTAAATCTTCATTGGTCAGATTAGTTTACTGAATGTCTAGTATGAGCCTGGCCCTGGACGAGGTGCTGAAGTTAGAGATTATCAAAGCAGGTTTCTTTTCCTCATAAGCCTTATCTGAGGGAGGGAAAGTATCCATGAGTAATTCAAGAGACTTGGACCCAATTTCCTTCCCCTAAAAGAAGCACACCCGCCCTCACTGGTTTGGCTCAGTGGATAGAGCTTCCACCTGTGGACTGAAGGGTCCCGGGTTCGATTCTGGTCAAGGGCATGTACCTTGGTTGCAGGCACATCCCAGTAGTGGGTGTGCAGGAGGCAGCTGATCGATGTTTCTCTCTCATTGATGTTTCTAACTCTATATCCCTCTCCCTTCCTCTGTAAAAAGTCAATAAAATAAAATAAAAATTTAAAAAAAGAAGCACACCCCACCTCTCCCTCACCACAAGGTAGAGCTAAGAGCCTTTCCCCTGGGTCCTTGTCCTATTCAGTGTGTCATTCTATCACAGTAAATTTCAACTTTTTCTCTTTCCTCTTCTTTTTCCTCTTTTTTGCATTGTCAGTGCTTGGATGAATGAGTGGATGGACAAACAGATTAAACTAACATAGGTATGTTCCCATCTGGCAGAACACAGGGAATGCAGCTGCTGGGAAACAGACGGAAGGAAGAGGCTGGGGACTGCCAGAGGGGGTATTTCACAAAAGCAGTCTTCCAGGCGGGAAAGAGAACAGCGGTGCCATCTCATCCAAAGCATTGCCAGGAAAAGCCTTCAAATATTTGATTTTTCTATTACTTTCAGGATGTTCATTGTATTTGAAAAAGAAAAGAAAACATTTCCCTCCATTTGGATTTTCAAATGATTTCTGAAACAGAATCAATGAGTAAAGGGAAACAATTCACTCTATTTATACCAGCAGGAAAAAAACAACAACACAGGGCTGTTGTTTCCATACAAAAACTATATACCAACAAATTGGGAGTCTGAAAGAAATGAATAAATTTCTAGAAACATACAATCTTTCAACACCAAATCAAGAAGAAACAGAATAATAATAATAAAAAAAAGAAGAAGAAGAAGAAGAAACAGAAAATCTGAGCAGACCAATTACAACTAATGAAATTGGAGCAATAATCAAAAAACTTCCAATAAACAGAAGTCCCAGACCAGACAGCTTCACAGGTGAATTTTACCAAACATTTAAAGAGGAACTAACACCTATCCTTCTTAAACTATTCCAAAGTATTCAAGAGGAGGGAAGACTCCCAATCTTATTTTATGAGGCCAGCATTATCCTAATTCCAAAACCAGATAAACACATTACAAAAAAATAAAATTATAGGCCAATATTCCCGATGAACAAGATGCTAAAATCCTCAACAAAACATTAGCAAAGTGAATCGAGCAATACATTAAAAAGATCACACACCATGATCAAGTGGGATTTATTCCTGGGATGTAAGGTGGGCACAATATCCACAAATCAATTAGCGTGACACATCACATAAACAAAATGAAGGATAAAAATCATGTGATTATATCCATAAATGCAGAAAAGTCTTTTGACAAAATCTAGCACCCATTTATGATAAAAACTCTCAGAAAAGTGGAAATAGAGGGAACATTTTTAAAGGCCACAAGTGGCATACCCATAGCTAACATCATATTCAATGAGGAAAAACTAAAAGCAAGATCAAGAACAAGACAGGGATGTCCGCTTTCACCACTCTTATTGAACATCGTACACAGCAATCAGACAAGAAGAAGTAAAAGGCAACCAAATAGGAAAGAAAGAAGTAAAGCTGTCATTTGCACATGATAGGATGACTATGTAGAGAGAACCCTAAAAATTCCACCAAAAATACTACTGGAACTGATAAATTCAGTAAAGTACCAGGATACAAAATAAATATCCCAGAATCAGTTGATTTTGATATTGTTATTGTTGTTGTGTTAATCCTCACCCGAGGATATTTTTCCATTGATTTTTAGAGAAGAGTGGAAGGGAGGAGGAAAGACAGAGAGAAACATCGATGTGAGAGAGATACATGGATGGGTTGCCTCCCGCCTTCAACCAAGTACGTGCCCTTGACTGGAATTGAAACCAGGACCCTTCACTCCGCAGGCCAATGCTCTATCCACTCAGCCAAACCGGCTGGGGCTCAGTTGCATTTTTATACACCACAATGAATTATCAGGAAAGGAAACTAAGAAAACAATCCTATTTACAACTGCAAATGTGTTGACGTAAATCTTCATCGGTCGGATTAGTTTACTGACAAACAACAACAAAACATTTAGGAATAAATTTAACCAAGAAGGTAAAAGACCTATACTAAAAAAAAATTATAAGACACAGAAAAAAGCAAAAAGACACAAATAAATGGAAGCATGTACCCTACTCACAGTGACCTCCAGGCACTGGCCCATAAAATCCTCTCACATGAAATCCTCAATCTTTTTTGCTTTCTGCAATCTGGACACTTGACCTCCAAAGTAACCTTGGAAAATACTGAGCTTTCTTCA